AGTAGTTTAGAAAAACAGTTTCTGTAATCTGTTTCCTGTTACGTAGAAGTCCTGGAAATGCTGAACTCTGATTTCACAGTTGCTGACAGGGTTACTTTAATTTCCATGAGAAAATTATTACAGTTAGTTCTCAATGAAGGAAAATGGAAGGACTGTCTGCCCTCTCTTTCCATGACAATTTATTTTGTCTGCAAAGTTGGTCAGTAATGCTTCATTGTAGGTTTATGCAAGTGAAGTGTTTACTTGTATTTGAAATCTTGTTTCCTCTTATGATTTGCTGTCAGGAGATGTCTCTACTATATGTACGGAAGAGCTCTCTTACAGCAGTGTAAAAGGGGAAACCTCAACAAGAACAGAAGAGCTCTTTTGTTAACTCTAGGGGAAAAAGGAGAAAACTGCTAATGAACTTCAAAGTAATTAAATGGAACCTATATGGGGAGGGAACTGCTTACATTTTGCATTTTCACACGCAGTTTTACAGTTGTTTTCTGTTGAGTAATGATGAGATCATCCTCAACATATGGCATTTTACCCTTTATTCTTTGGACTGTCATCCTCCTCCTTGCAATGAGCTGGTGTCCTTTAGTCATGCTTACTTAACCATGACTATGCGGTATACAACATAAACTATATGTATCTTAAGTTCATACAATTTCATGCTATGAAGACTAATTGGTACAATAGTTAGGGAGATTTTTTCTAATGGTTTTTATTTTTTACTAGGCTGGTATTGGGCTTTTTGTGATCCCAGCTATTACTGTTGCCATAAGGAAGGAGCAGGTAAAAACAAATAATGAAGAAAAGTTAGCTAGACATACAATTTGCATGTACAGTTTAATACAATGTATATCGGGAGGAGCAGTGTTGAGGTTAAAAAAACACAGAGTGGTGATGGCTGATGTGCATGTAGATGATACATAACTTGTTTTTTGTAACTTAAATTACCTTTTTTCCTCTCAGCTGCAACATGCATCTCTGTCTTTATCCTAAATAATCTTAACTGCTGCTCAGTGTATGAATTGTTTGAACTACTCTTCATGAAATTAACTACTAAATGATGTAGTTATGGATAGTCCATATGGCAGAAAAATGTATGCTCTCTGCACTGAGATACCATACTTTGACGTAGGTATGTATATGTTTTCAAATACAAGCAGAAGTTAATGTAATTTATAGAATTGTCATCAGGTTAATCATCAGTACTCCTGATCTTATAACTTGTAAATAACTGAACAATTTTGAAATCCAGGTGCTTGTGCTCATAGGTGGAGCCTGATATTGGTAAGGTTGATTGCACTTGTCTTGGTTCTGGCCAGGACTGGATTAATTTTTGCAGTAGCCAGGAGGGGGCATGGGTGGGACACAGAGGTTATTCTATACTACCTCACATCATTGCTGGGGGTGGGAGAAGGGAGTCTCTTCCAGGGAGAAGGGGTCTCTCCTGGTCGGGGTAGCATGACTGTGGTCTGGTAGGGCTCTGCAGTGAGTATTGTGTGTGAATAACTCTGTCTCTTTTGTACACTTCTGTTATTAATATTGTTGCTGCTACTGTTTGTTTTCTTATCTCATTGCTGTTTTCAGTAAATTGTTCTTATCTCAACCTGTGATCTTTGCCTTTTGTGCCTCCAGTTCTCTTCTCCCACCTCAGGGTGAAGAGGGGTCACAAGCTAGCAGCAGCATGGTTTGGAGAGTCTCAATGAGAGCACTGAATTGGGGAGTACCATTCCTAAACCACAACAGCCTTATTTGGCACCCAATGTGTGGCATGAAGGGTTGAGATAACAACAGATCTGCCCAGAGCAGGTTGGAAACAAATTTGATCTAAGCATTTGCTGTATTAGGTACAAAGCCACTGGTCGCAATGTTGCTTGGTCTGTTCATCTGGGTGTGGTACCTAACCCTGTATATGTTCCCATATGTGCTCCTGTTATGGGTTATAAATCTGAGAGAGGAATTTTCCCTTCCCCTGCTTTCCCTGTAAGAGAAACAGAGTTGGAAGGGGGAAGGGAGTCGATTAGCCTTACAAAAGAACTGGCTGACCTGGTTAATGGCCCATTAACTGCTGGAGTGAGGGGGGGATGTTTTTGGGCAGATGGGGAGGACAGGGGAGACAGGGGAGACGGGAGAGTGCTCGGGCCAGGACAGGGCCAGGGACTGTTTTCAGACATTTCTAGAGGAAAGTCTGGGAGCCAGCTCTCTTCCCTGGTTCTCTCGTCCTGGTGAGACCTGACTACCGGCCCTGCACCGCCAGTGTCTTGTGATTCCCGCCGGGGCCGACGAGTCTTTGCTGCTTCTTTTCATTGGAGAGGTCTGTGCTTGCTGGGAGAAAGAGGGGAGAGCCTTGGAACACTACCATCTGGGAACAGTGAGTCCTCTTGGGGGGTGAACTTTTTTTCTCACCCCTTCCCTCCGTTGAGGAAAAGGGGGCCCCCTATTTCCCTTCTCGGTTTCTCCTGCGGGCCGGGACTGCTCCCTCCAGACCCCTCTGCCCACGTGGTGGCTGCTGGAGCCCAACAGCGCCCCCTGCTGACCACAATGGGATACTGCCGGTCCTACAGCTTCAGCGATCCCACAGCGCCCCCTGCAGGCAACGACAGGTTACTGCAGACCCTACATCTTCGGCGGTCCAACAGCGCCCCCTGCAGGCCACGACAGGGTACTGCGGACCCTGCACCTTTAGCGACCAAACAGCGCCCCCTGCCGTCCACAACAGGGCGTTGCAGACCCTGCACCTTCCAGCGATCCAACAATGTCCCTTGCAGGCCACAATTAGGACCGTGGTAAAGGACAGAGAAGTATTCTTTTAGACTTTTTGTTGTTGTTGTTGTTGTTTTTTCTAGGATTGCTGTCTAGTTCCTTGTTGGTTTTTTTTGTTACTGTTTTTGCCAAAATACATATATCTTTTAATAAAGGGTTGTTATTTCTTCTGTTTTTCCACATTTTCCTCGAGTAAAGCCCCTTAATTTGACATTACGATTGCAGAGAGAGAGGAGTTTGGTCTACCTCATAACTCATCCTTTTTAGCAAACAGTCCAGTCTCATCAGACTGCGACATTCTTGCCTCCCAATGTTCTTTTTCAGAGCAGGGAGGGGAATCAGGATTGCTTTGTTGCTGTACTGTGTGATATCAGCTTATGACATGATAACATCAAAGGGCAGTGAGGGTCATTTGGGATGTGTATTCAGTGTTGTTCTCCTACCCTTACCTCAGGCATGACCTTTGGGAGTCCATTAATAATAGTACCCAGCCTGTGGGAGAAACAGGGGAAGATGTTTTTCCCCAACTTTTCACCCCCTTTTCCTCCTTCAGGCCTGTTACAACAGTTTTTGAGAATTTTGAATTCCCTTTGGATGTTAAGGAAAGCATGTTCTTATTGCTAAGTCTGCCAGGTCTCCTCAGTGCAGTCCACACCATGTTTAGAGTTGCGAAAGAGATTTCTAGAAAGGCCTTTCAGAGATCTGCTCTGAGGGAGGATAGTTATGAGTGGCATGGAATGTGGGAGGACGTGGGCCAGTTTTTGGCAAAATTCTCTGCTCCAGTGGTTTGGAAGTTCACCCCTGAACAACTACAGGACCCTGTTAAAGTGATAAAATATGTGGGAGAAAAATGCTGTGGCAGCTCCAGAGAGGCACAAAGTTATGCAACGTGCTGGGCCCTGGCTACTATTTATTGGACACTGCTCATCACTAGACAGCACCCTCAGGGGGAGGAGGAGGAAAGCAGACCAACAGGCACCTTGGCCACTCAAACTGCAGCTGAACCAGAGGAACAACTCACTAGTAGCACTCACCCCTATACAGAAGAAGAAATCCAAGACCAAATCAGTTTGCATAATGAGGGATGAATAGGAAGCAGGGCCCTCACAACAGGAGGAAGAGGCAGGGCCAGAGATAATCACCTGATCCCCAGGTGAACTTCGAGATATGCAGAAAGATTTCAACTGTCATCTGGGTGAGCCCCTGGTGACCTGGTGTGATAGACTGAATGTCTTAAACATTGTCAAAATCATAGAAAGACTTTTTGTCAAACTGCAAAGAACCAACTGTTTCTCTGGGACCACTGAAGCACCCCCACCTCCCGAAGATGAAGATGCCTCCTGACTGGAATTTGGACCGGGACTGGGAACTTGAGATAAGACTATTGTCAAATTATCTCAGGTCTGAGGAGAAGTAAACAAGGGTCATGGGGTGGTGGAGGTGAAGGGTTTTGGATGTATGATGGTGAAATCTCTCCACACCAAACCAAAGGAGTAAACCCCCCTGCTCTGGGAAGACCACATACACACGGGACATTCATGTGAGAGGCAGCTGAGAAGGGGTCATAAACCATCAAAGACCCCCAAAATGCTCCCCCTCTCTCCTCCGAATTCCTGCGGCCTTCCACCACCAGAGGACTGCACGTGATCCAAGTTATGCAACAAATCTGGAACCTGTCACTAGAGACTGCAAAGCTTACTCCCCCCCTTCCCCCCCAGGGAGGTTCCTGGGCATCTCCTGAATGTATATTAATCCATTGGACTCTATGTTTTGTGAGACCCTCACCACCAGGAAGACCAGCCGAACAGAACCCCACAGGCTGCCACTGAGTTCCATAGAGTGGTGATACATTTTCTATTTTAATCTCCTTCCCCCCCTCCTTTTCCTATTTCTTTCTGTCTCTCTCTTTCTCTACCTCACATTTACAGTTAAATAAAATCCATATTATTGACTTTGGCATCTGGTCTCGTTTGCACCTTCATTCGGGCAGAGACATTTCTAATAATTTTAATAACCAGATCATAACATCTGGCTGCTCTGATGCTGGGATATTGTGACCCACGATATGAAACTAGATGGTAGTGAAGCCAAGCAACTGGGATCCCTGTCCCAGGATGTGGGCATTGGCAAGGGGATTGGGAAGAAGACAGAAACTCAACCTCTGGAGGCAGCTCTTGTCAAGTGTGAGGGAAAAGCATTCTCTCAAGGATGACCTAGCAGTGCATCCAGGCAGGTCGAACACCATGGAGAAAGGTATCCAGTACGTGAGAGAATTAGCTGTGCTGGAGATAATCTATAGGGATTCAAATAATGAGCAGTCCCCTGTAGATCCAGATGAGGTCCAGTGTACACAATCCATGTGGTGGAAGTTTGTATGGAGTATGCCATCATTGTATGCCAACTCATTGGCACTGGTGTCAATGAAAGAAGAACAAACAGTGCTTCAGGTACCTGATTCTGGTGATATGAAGATCATCTTTTTTTCCTCCCTATTGATCTGGGCCTTGGCTGTGGAAAGACTGTCCAAGACTGCAGACAGATTCAAAAGGCTCGAGCAAGCTAGAGAGGAAATGTCCCATGCCCCATCAGTATGGACCAGAGTCTCTGCTATTGGGAGCAAGTGCTCCTCTGCTCGAGAGAGAGGGTACACACCACAAGCTAACCACTGGTTTTACCTGCATGACCACAGAGAGGACATGAGGAAGTGGGATGGAAAACCCACCTCTGCCCTAGCAGCATGGGCATGTGAGTTGAAAGGAAGAACCACAACGGGAAATTCTTCAAGGATAAATGCCACTCCAGTTTCCAGTGGGCAAGTCCTCAGACAGAATAGGAGGGCTGATGTTCCTTTTGATCCTCTTGAAGGGAGTTCCAATTCATATTTACAAGAAGTGAGCAACGAGTACTATGACCAGAACTAGAGGGGCCCTGCCTCCAGACAGATGGAGGAAAGGGACAGTCGGATCTATTGGACTGTGTGGATCCAATGGCCTGGCACATCAGACCGACAAGAGTATAAGGCTTTAGTTGACACCGGCACACAATGTACCCTGATGCCATCAAGATATGTAGGGGCAGAATCTATTTCTGGGGTGACAGGGGGATCCCAACAACTGACTGTACTGGAAGCTGAAGCGAGCCTGACTGGGAATGAATGGCAAAAACACCCCTTTGATATCGACCCAGAGGCCTTGTGTATCTTTGGCATAGATTACCTCAGGAGAGGGTATTTCAAGGACCCAAAAGGGTATTGTTGGGCTTTTGAGATAGCTGCTGTGGAGACAGAGGAAATTAGACTGTTGAATACCTTGCCTGGCCACTCAAAAGACACCTCTGCTGAGGGTCAAAGAACAACAGCTACCACCACAGTGCACCATCAACAATACCGCACTAACTAGGACTCTGTGACTCCCATCCATGAGATAATTTGTGAACTGGAGAGCCAGGGAGTGGTCAGCAAGACTCACTTTAATAGTCCTATATGAGCAGTGCGCAAGTCCAATGGAGAGTGGAGACTGATGGTAGATTATCATGGCCTGAACAAAGTCACACTGCCACTAAGTGCTGCCGTACTGGACATGCTGGAACTTCAGTACGAACTGGAGTCCAAAACTGCAAAGTGGTGCCACCATCAATATTGCTGAATTGTGGCAAGACATCGCTGCCCAGGTAGAGAAGTTGACCGTAAAAGTACGTCATGTAGATGCACACGTATCCAAGAGTGGGGCTACTGACAAACATGAAAACAATGGACAGGTGGATCGAGCTGCCAAGGTTAAAGTGTCTCAGGTGGATCTGGACTGGCAACATAAGGGTGAATTATTTCTGGCTCAGTGGGCCCATGATGCCTCAGGTTATTGGGGAAGAGATGGGCAGGAGAGCAATGGATAGTTTGACAGGAAAACTCTTATAGTAGCAATGTTGTTATGCCGTGGCTTGCCTCGCCTTCCTTTCATTTATTGTTGCTTTCTTCTGTTTGGGGGGAAGATCACCATGGTGCCAGAGATGATAAGCTGACTGAGTTTATTAATCAGTTTTTAGGGCAGTGTCTCAGTTTTAATTGTGAGATATGCCTTACTGATTGGGAAGTGTTTTAAACTTTAAAACTAAAGAATAGACAAAGGGAAGTTACCTATGAGAAGGAAGAAGTTAGTGATTTTTACCAGTTTTACAAAACCAAGAGAAATATCCCTGATATATGAAGAATCGAAGAGGTGCGAATTTTACTTCATGGGAAATAATGAAAAATATGAGGGAATGAAGAGGAAATACAGTATTAAGTATGCATTAAATAAGATGAGAAGTGAAAGAACACCCATAGAAATCTAGAGAATAAATGGCTTTAAATATAGTCTAGAAATATGTGATTAAAGAGTTGTCATTCAAAGGGTAGTTTGTTTTACATATAAGAGATTGAAGGGAACTAATAGCAATTGGTAAAAAAGCCAAAGCATTAGAAATCATTTACTTCATGAAACTTGATCAGTTATTAAAATGCATAGTTTCTATATTCTGTAATTGTTTTAACATGTTATGTTTCATAGTTCTGCTTTCTTTTTGTTATTAATCTTTAGGGGGAAAGGAACAATGGCTTTGATGTCCTCTATCACAACATGAAACATGGACATTTGTCAACAAAAGACTTGGCAGACTTTATAAGAGAAAGGTAAGTATTCATCCTTGCTAATCCTGGTTCTTTAATATACCTTTTGTGGTTTTTATTTAAGTTTATCATTATGTATTACAGTAACATGCAAAACAAAAATTGACAAGCATTTTAAAATCTCATGTCCTATGAGAACATTTAGGTTTATTCCATTCGCCGAGAACTGAATAGTGATTTCTAAGTCACTGAACAGTGATTTCTAATAACAAACTTCTAATTTTTAGGTTTGAATTAAAAAACAAGAGTAAAAAGCCAGAAATGTCACAGTTTATTTAAATTAATTGCAATTTTTCATTGTGTTTGAAAGAAAAGCAATAAGTTAAGTAGAAAAAATTTGACCACAGATATAGAATTAGGGTATTAGCAAGTTCTAATATGATCTTAAAAATTATCCTTCTTGATTAAGGTATTGAGAAATTAGGTTGGTTAAAGAAAAGGGAGTGATATCTATGGACAAGAAAATAATTTGCAAAAAATAACCCAGGTTGTTCTTTATGGTATGGAAAGGACAGAACTGAAATCTGCAAATGTGACAACTTCCTAAACAGATGTTCTTTATAGAAGATGACTGCTGCTGCTACTTTGAACATAAGAATTTCTGTTCTGGATGAAATTAATGATACATCTGCTTCAGAATTTTGTCTTATTTAGTTACTGATACCAGATGATGGATGGAAAAAACTTGCAAGAGGCTAATTGAGGACCTGTTTCAGTGAATGTTTCTTGCAGTAAAAGCTGTCAAAATAACCAGCTTTTGTTTTCTGAAATTTTTCATCAAAATTTCAGTTTTAGCCCAAAATAGACCTCGATGAAGAATTTTTAAAAAAAATTTCCACAAAATGTAACTATCATGGGTCTGGCAGGTACTCAGTGACACTGACATTTGCATAGTTTCTAAGTGAGTTGAAATGGAGACAACTACAAAAATCTTTCCACTAAGTGAAATAGGTGAATTCCAGAGGCCATATGTGATGGGCAGTCTCCTATTGGAAGAACAACACAAACCAAGGAATGTTGTTTCAAGAATCCCTGTGTTGCCTAAAGAGACCATGGAGAAAAAGAATCCAGGCCAATTTAGTGTATAAGACAAGATAAAAAAAACGGGTTCTTTAATCAGGTCTCAGGCCCAGGGGAATACGCACAATGCACGCGCACCCAGACAGTGGTTCTATGATTTTATAATAAGGTCCATCCAATCCCAGATCTATCCACCCCCCGGTTCTTCCCCCCGATACGCCCCTGTGTCTGGGGGCATGTGGGACCCCTTCTTCCACATCATCATCTTCTTCAAAGCACGTACAGTCCTTGGAGTTCCTCCAAAGTTCTGGGCTTGAAGGTTACTGCGTCTGTGTGATAACTCCTGGTCCAGGCCTAGGGTGCGATGTTCTTAAACAGACGTGTTTTTCTGCAATTCTACCTTGAAAAGAAGACTAAACACACTAAGGGAATTTAGAGGGATTGATATGAAATGGGGTAACAGGGTTGGGTATGTGTAAACTGCTATGTTAAGGGTAAGGGATACAATACAGCTACATTAAAATGTACATTTACTACACAACTACTACTGAAATCTACAAAAGTTAAAAAATCCAAAAAGCTCTGAGGCATCATGATTCCAGAGAACACATTATGAAACCAGACAGGTGTTCGGATTTAGTTGAGGGGCATTATGCTCTTGATGCTTAGTATGAAATGTTTAGGGCTTCACAGGCTGTTAAAAATGGTATATTTTTTTAAACTGCTTTTAATATTGACTGTTAAAAAACTTTGCCTTGTGTTATCTTTGTGTATGCCTGGATCTTTCCTTTGAAACCTGCTTTAATTCTTGGAATCAGTCTTTTTTTAAAATATATATATATAGTAATAAGTCATAGACTTAAGCTGTGCATCACCTGGACACATGTAATTTTATTAGTTTTATATCAATTGTGTTTTGATTCATCTCCATATTTAGATCAGAAGTTTGCTTGCTCACTCTTCTTCTTATCTCTGTTACATTGTATTCTTTGGGCATGCTCCATTTTATTAATACTGATCCTGAGGTTAAAGGTCTTATGTAAATGGGTAAAAATAACTTGATTCTATATCTGTCTTGGATTCTGTTTTATTATCGTGACATAAATAAAACTTGACAGTTCATTCTATGCAAAATTACTAGCAAAAAGAATGTGGCATTCTAGTTTATTTTTCATTCCATCAGTTTCTTCAAATGAAATTTTAAATGAGATGTGCCTTTACAATCAATAGATATGTGGACCTTTCTCCACATATTAAAAGTGTTTTAGCTGAAGCTTCTGAGAGATCAAGAAATGTAGTTTTTCTTCTTGTGAATAGATCAGGACATGCCAGAGATGTTTAGCCAGCCATCAGCCATCTTATCTACAGCATTTTTTGTCAAATATATGAAAAATTTTAGTTCTAGTTAACACACTGAGATTCACTAGAATCTTAGCACTAAATTTTAATTTATTTGACAAGGCTTCAGTATACTTCCTTAAGAACAACTTACCCTGGAATTGGAAAATATCTCTGTGATGCAGACCCGCAGCAATAAGTTCAGTCGTCCTTTCCAGTGAGCTTCTCCCCATCAGATATTAAACGTGATATCTGATCTGTTCTGTTGTGTCTTCAACTCTGCTTTATCCATCTAGGTATGCCAGGCTGCCATAAAAAAAAAAAATTTGAATGGCAAATAGATGCTTCTTTTCAAGTTAAGGTTTCATTGCTGATCAATCTCAGTCTAAGCTAGTCGTACCTTGTGGCATATAGTTTGTAGTTTCAAAGAAATAGATGGAATTTTAATATTTGGTGCCCATATCTAGGCAGTGACATCCTTCCACTACCATTGTGAGGTTATTGCAGTATGTCAGTCTTATTTCCCAGAAAATAAATATGGTTCAGTAGCATGTGGGTCAAATTCTTGATCTCAAAGAGTTTGTATTGGGCAGTGCTTGAACAGTGTTTTGCAAGTCTGATTGTCTTGACTGTATTGTTTTACATTTTTGTTTATTGCAAAGAAATGAAGAGATATTGCTCACAGTTATCTGTTCCCCTCCTGTAGTCTGAATATTATTGTACAGTATTCTTTTCTGCTAGAAATATGTAAGTGGGTGAGCAATGAGGAATCTCCTAGATCTAGTGGTTTTATGCACTACTTAAACCTCATTTTCTGAGCTCTTCTCTATGAAAACTAAACTTGCGTATATTTGCAATTTCTTCATATCTGCCCTTCCATTCCTTCTGAACATATTGGCCAGTTTTATTCAGATATGGAGATGGAGAGTGTAAACTGAAAATTGCTTGCTGGGTAAAGAAGACACATCTGAGTTAGTGATTATACTTACAAAACATTGGAGTACTGTCAAACAGTATATACAGTTGTCAGCTGGTCAGTCAGCATTGCTGAAGTCTCCAGAAGAATAACCAAAATATTTGCTTTATTTTAAAGGAGTGGCATGCAAGAGAGGAAAGATAGTTGAGTATATTTGGATGTACAGACTGCTTAGGGCACAAAGGACATGTCTGTATGAAATCTGAAAAAAACCTCCTGGATATCCCTAGAAGGAGCAGGTTTCCCCTTTGGCTGTGTTCAGTTAATCAATACCAATTCAGTTTTTAACTGTGGTGTTTCACTTTTTCATTTTTGAGTGTTTGTTAGTAGTCTAGTACTAAAAGAACTGGGGAACATTTGGATCTATAGTTCTTTAGTGCCTTCTGTCCAGATATTCTGCTACCGTAATTGGGAAAGACTTAGTCAGTATTTATTGCTTTCTAGGAGATTCAGATATGCCTCCTGAAAGAGTGAATTTTGTGACAGGCAATCTGCTCAATGTTGGGGCAGAATATCTGTCTGCTAAAATATAGGTATCTTTGTTCTATTCTTGATAAAGCATGTAGAAATTATGTTTTAGGAGTTAAAAGGAGTTAACATATAAGAAGACTGAGATTCCCTTGCAGTCTTTTGTTGTTGTTGTTGTTGTTTTTTTTCTTTAAATACTTGGAAGATTTTGTAGGTAAACTGTCTTGTGTGCATTTAGCACCTAAAATGTTTATGTGTAAGAAACCACTGTGCTCAACTAGGAACTGAATAGGTATTGTTGGCTTTTGTGCAGAAGTCTTTCAAACATTTTTTTGCACCAGTTGTTTATAAGCATCATAAAAAAGAAAGTCCTTGATCAGAAGAAATTAGCAATGCACATATTCATTTCAATTTAAATACTTAACAGATTCCAAATACAGATTTTCAAATCAGTGAAAATTATTTTACTCAGATGTTCATACTGTGTTACCAGTACATCAGAATGCTCTGGGAAGTCAGTTGATAAAACAAATGTAGATATACATGCCAGACTGGTCAGCAAGAGTGTGTTTTGCTTGTTAGTCTTTTGAATTGTTGTATGAGGATAATATGTAGTAAGTTAGGGAACTCCAGTTTTGTGGAGATTGCTACAAAGAAAGGTGTGGATTTTGGTCAAAAATCTTGTGTAAAAAAAAAAAAAGCATTGAGTTCTCAAATCTACAAAAAAATTGATAGAAGCTGCTTATAATTAATCAAAATATATTACTCATCATAGTAATTAAAAAAAGTTTTCTCAGTTGTTGTAGTTTAAGCCCAATGGCCACTAAGCACCATGCAGCTGCTCACTCAACCCCTCCCCCCCCAGTGGAATGGGGAGGAGAATCAAAAGTAAAACTTGTAGGTTGAGATAAGAACAGTTTAATAAGGGGAAACAAAGTAAAATATAATTATAGTAACCAATGATAATTATAATAAAAGGGAAAGGAAAAAACCAAATTATGCACAATATAATTGCTCACCACCCGTGGACAGATGCTAGACCCCATTACCAAACCCAGATCAACCCCCATTCTGGGTAACTCCTCCCAGTTTATATACTGAGCATGACGTTCTATGGTGTGGAATATCCTTTTGCCCATTTCAGGTCGCCTGTCCTGGCTATTCTCCTTCCCAGTTTTTCTTTTGTGCACCTCCTCATTGG